CAATGCCCTTATCACAGACAAGAGCGTTTCAGACAAATAGCACTATACTCTGACTTCTTTTTCTCCACCATTCTTTCCCCACAGTTCCCCCAGAAAGGCCTGCCCAGATGCTTCCTTCCCTACGGGACACAAAGGTACTTCCCCTGGAACCCACAGAGCCCCTCTTTCCTGGTCAAGGTCTGCCTCACCCCAGCAGCAGCTCCGTGGCTGACCTCTCTGCTGGCTTCTCTCCCACAGATGTGGAAAATGGAAGCACAAGGGAGTTTTTGCTCCACTGGCCAAAACACTCAGTGGCATTCCCTCTCACGGCTCCCTCAAGGCTATACCTGAGGACTGTCACAAAGGAGTCCTCCAAGTCCAAACCAAAGTTTCATGAGATTCTATCCTGCTGAACCAGAACAGGGTCATGTAGAGCAAGGCTGGGACATAAGCAGCCACAAGGCCTGAAGGCATCCTACTCAGATCAGTGATCTAAAATGAATGAAGAAAACAACTTAAATTCTAAAAGTATAGATGTGAGGCAAGTGAGCGTGGTAGAAACTACACAGATGTAGGTATCTGTCCTACTTCTGCCACCCTAAGAGGCATGGGACCCTTACATATCCAGATAGCTCTCAGTTTCACCAACAGGCCTCAAAAGTGCTTTCAAATCTGCCATCTTCTTTATCTACAGGACAGAAGTCTTCTGTGCCCAAGACCCACTCAGCAGCCCTGGGGCTGCTCAGCCACAGGATTCAGGAAGTGGCTGGTGACAGCTGTGCTTGATTAAGCACTTGGCAGCAAGCCAGGCACAGGGGTTCCTAGCCACTAGCACCTGTATTACCCTACAGTGGAACGAGGTCAGGGGGTCATGGGTATCCCAAGAAAAAGAGCCCCTAATACCTGTGGTACACCAGTCCTAAGAGTCTATATTTAATAAGGAGTTTGGGGGTTTGAGAGCAGAAAATAACATAAGCCTCATACCCTGACTCTAACCTCCACCTGAGAGATACAGGCATGCCTACCCACCTTCACTCATCCCTCCAACTACTTCAGAAGACTCAGCCTTCCTTTCCTGGTCTCCTAACTTACCTCATGCTGCCTTTGCCTCTATCAACCTCCCCATGGAGTTCCCTGATCCCCAGGCTATGAACCCCGGCAAGTACAATACGACATCCATTTCCTCTCCCTGGTATCCAGCTCAGTGAGCTGGAGAGCAGATAATGAATGAACAAACAGATGGCAAAATGAACAGAGATCAGCTTGTTTCTCTTTCTTCTCCCTTCCTTTGGGCACTGTGAGATTGGTGCCCCAAAGAAGAAATGATTTAGCAATTCCATGGAGCCATTTTCCATTCTCCATACCCCTAAACTTCCAGCTTGACCCTCCACCTAGCTCCCACATTTCTAGATCTAACAGTAAAAGAACAACTACATAAGATGCCCCACAGTCCTCATTTCACTTCTCAGAGAGAACAATGTCAACAGATTTTCCTTTATGTGATGGATGCTGTGCCAGAACTCTGTGAATGACTTTTTAAATACTATGTTGAAGTGTTCTTGGGTTAAGAGGTGAGTCAGTTGTTTAAAGAACACTCACCTTAAGTTCTTTAAGGCCAAGCATGGCCTTAAGGCCCATGCCTATAATCCTAGCACTCTGTAAGGCCAATGTAGGAGGATCCCTTGAGCTCAGGAGTTCGAGATCAGCCTGAACAAGAGTGATACTCCATCTCTACTAAAAACAGAAAAATTAGCTGGGTGGGATGGCATGCACCTGTAGTCCCAGCTACTACAGAGGCTGAGGCAGGAGGATTGCTTGAGGCCAGGAGTTTGAGGTTGCTATGAGCTAGGTTTAGGCCACTGCACTCTAGCCTGGGCAACAGAGTGAGACTATTCTCTCAAAAAAAAAAAAAAAAAACACTTACAAAAAGAGGTGATTGCTTGATACACACCTGTTTG